TATCCCATTATATGTTTGCTTTTAACATTGCCTGGGTATTTTCCTGGGTTTCTGATCAGATTTGATTGCTTTAATCTTATCCCTCTTAGCCTTGGCTTTGGTGAAACACCTGGGGACTTGTCTACATCACTGACTTTTTGGAATTTGGGGTGGTGTAGAGTTGTAATCGTTTGATTATCCATTCAGTATATTCGAGTGTGCTCACTAAACGAGTCAGAACCTAGAAGCTTTTTACTGTATTTGGAACTAGTATCTGCTTTTTTGAGGTGCAGAATATTTATGTTGTATTGATGCTTAAACAAGCTTGACTCTGGTAGATTCAAAATTATTTCTCAACTCGGTTAGGATACCATTTCGCTGCATGGAACAGAACCCCCCACTCCCCCACCCCTCCCTTCCCCAGTGGCTCAACAAGTTAGAGATTTTTTTCCCCCCATATAATCAGAAATCTAGAGACAGGCTTTCTCAAATTCCATCATGTTTTCAGGAGCCCATGCTCCTGTCTTTATCCTCTGCAATACTTAGCAAGGAACTTTCACCCCATGTCTGCCCACCTCTAGCTAGATAGCTGTGATCTCAGTATGAAAAAGTCAAGGGCAGAATTTACGTCCCAATCTAGTCTATCCCCCCCCCGCGCGCCCCCCCCCAAAGAGCTTTCCCAGGAACTGCACCTGGAAACTTCTGTGTACATCTCCGAACTGTGTCACCTGGTTATCTCTAGGTACAGAAGAGATTGGGAAATGTAATTTTTTAGCTGGACACGAATTATTACCCAAACAAAATCAGGATACTATTAGAAAGGGTGAAATGATACCCAGGCAAGAGGCAGTCTCCTAAGCAATAAGTTCTCCTAACTTATTTTATTTTGTTGTTTGAGGGGAAAACTGATCTTATTACTATAGAACATCAGTGTGCTGCCACAAAATTTGCATCTAAGGAGGTGAATTTATTTTTGTTTGGGATCTGCAGAAGGGCTTACTTACATTTTGCGGCAGAGTGTGACTTGCACACGAATAACACACTAGGCACTGTTCAAAGCCCAGAGAATGGTCCTATTACAAGATTGTATCTCTGTGTAAACACAAGCTTGCCTATTTCTCTTATATAGGAATTTATTGTTGCCAAAAAAAGATGAATAGTTGGTATAATGTGAGTTTTGTTTTGTTTGTTTTTTCATTCATGGAGTAAATGTTTATTATACACTTTTTATGCACAAGTCATTCTAGGCACTGTGGGTGAAACCAGTTAATCAAATATAAATCCAGCCATTGCTAGTGCATATTGTCCCGAAAGGGGAAAAAGTACATATATAAGTGGCTGTGATACAAGGTAGAATGTGCTAGATGCGATAAGACACATACAAATACATTTTTATAAGTGTTCAAAAGAAGAGAAGATTATTTCTGCCAGGGAGAATTAAGCAAATAGGGCCTAGGGAACCTAAACATATGTTTTTGTTTTAAGAGTGTGCTGAAAACGAGTGAGCATCTTCATAAGGCTAGAAAAATATGTTGGAAAATACATAACCAACTACCATTCACAAATCACTACAGATAGAGGCAGATTTGCATGTGTCACCCTGTCTTTGGGTTCCTCAGTGAGCTGAGGTGGGCGTTTGAGAAGGAATGGAACATTTGTTGAGCGTCTGCTGTGTGTGCCTGGTACTTCAATTTATTTCAAGAAACCTTTATTGAATGCCTTAGATATGCTTATGTGATCTTCACTTAATTCCCAACAATCCAGTGAAGTAATTATAATTGCTTATGAGGAAGCTAAACCTTGGAGAGGTTAAGCAACCTGAAAAGCTTACCCCATTTATAAGCGACAGAACCTCCATTCGAGCCCAGGCAGCATCTAACGGTAAAGCTGTGCTCTTTTCCACTTACCCGAGTCTCTGCATTTCACTGATGACCTGATCTGGCTTTGTAGCCATAAAGGTTGAACAGTCATTTCCTTCTTCACCCCAGCCTAATGGCGCGTCCTATGCCCACCTGGTTGAAACGTGGACTTTATTTGGATACTTTGCCTTGTACTCAGAGTTGATTTGTTACCTGCTTAAATCTTATTAGAACTCAACTTCCTTTTGACCTTTTAATAATTTATTTTTGTAATAAGTAATACATACAGATGGTAGAAAATTCAAAAAGGTACAAATGATATATATTAGAAAATTAGTTTCCCTCCCACCATGACCCCTAGCTAATCAGTTCTTCTCCATGGAGTTTACCAATTTTTTGTATATCTTTCAGAATCGTTCTGTGCAGATACTAATCTGTGTGTGTGTGTGTGTGTGTGTGTGTGTGTGTGTGTGTGTGTGTTGATATCATATATTGATATATATGTGCTTATTCCTTTTTCTTTTTCACACAAAGAAGTTTACTATCCTCAACTGTTCTGATCTTGTTCTTTTCATTCACTCCTTTGTGTTTAAATGTCCCAGAAAAAGTTTTTTTTAAAAGAATAACTCAATAAATTTGAAATGTGGTTTTCAGCCACAGCAACATGTATTGAATAGATGTTCTTAACTAATGACAGTTCCTTCACAACATGAAAATTTTAAGTCAATAAAGAATATTTGTATCTCCAAGAGCTCTCTACTAACAGTGGTTTTCTCTCCCCTGCTACTCGCCCAGTGACCTTGTTTGTGGACGGCCATTGTAGAACTCCTCGGCCCCCATTCTGATTTCAGGCCTCTTCCCCATCCTGAATGAAGCCCCTCTCAAGCCTCCTTCACATCTAAGCTCACTTACTGGGATGTAGTGGTGAAAACCGAAGCCTAGAGTAGCCCATTCCTGCCTCCCTCCTTCCTTCCATTTGAGCCTCTCCCTCAGATTTTGAGGCCCTCAGCTATGGAAACAGTGGTTGAGAGGAATGGGCGTGTTCTAGAGCCAGTCCTACAGGACTGGCTTCTTGTCGCGCCCTCTGGTTCCTTGTCCTCAGAAGGCTTCCTAGACCGGAGGCAGGGCTCCTGGGCCCTCCCTGCCCACATGTACACACACTCCACAGAGCCTCCTGGCTTTGCCCGTGGACTCAGATCTTTCTTTGTTCTACTTCTCTGGGTCAGAGATGGAGGTGAGTGAACAGCTAGCTCTTCAGTTTTCCCTTGGGTGGTTTGCAAAGGTGGGGAACATTCAGTCAGATCGGTCCATTTGTAAATGCTCCACTCCTGTTCATCTGAAATTGCTTTGTTCTATTTCAGGCCTCTCAGTCAAACACACTTATTCCACATGAGACCCTCAATCTTCCTCATATCTCCCTAAACCAGGACCTTTGGACCATTTCCCTGACATGGGACATTTCGAGGCATGACTATAGAAGAGTTAGTTAACATTTTACTAAAGCTACCAAGTTCATCTTTTTTATCTTTAAAACATAAAATTCATAAAGAACAAAAACAATACTAGTGAAGTCTGTCTAGAAGGCAAATGTTCCCTAAGAACATCTAATCTTATTCCTTTAGGCCTTGCCATGAGGACATGACATTTCCATTATGTCTTTTACATGCAGTGTCTACAGATGGAATCAATCGCCAGAAATCCTTTTAAATAAAAGTCCTGTGTATTTTGTCAATTATTTTTCTCTTAATAATATTTCACATTTAAAGCTTTAGTAATGCATGCCTATTAAAAAGCTGTGTTAATAGTATTGAAGGACCAGTAGCAAAATTTGTGATAAAAAAAACTATTTCTAGTGAGGTAAATACCTTGTAAGAATTTTTAGAGGATCCATTTGAGGAAGTATATACATTTGCATTCAAACTACGGACATATATAGGTGTTTGTAATGTTGAGATGGTGATTTTAGGTCTTTATTTATTTGTAGGCTTACCCTCTGAGCAGAAATACCCTTGTAGTGATCTTGTATTCATGTAGTAATTTTCCTTTGAAAGTGTTTGCAAATGTAAATCTTGGGATAATCTTTAGGTCAACAAGATGTTACTATGGCACAATTCTACAAATAGCCCTCAAGGCCGGGCATGGCCTGGCTCCTAGTTTCTGTTCCGGCCCCCTCTCTCCACTGTTTGCTCATTGTGCCCCACTGGCTTCTTCCATTCCCTCAGATGTGCAAACTTTCTGAAGGAGTACAAAGTTCTGTGAGTGGACTCAAATTGAGGCAAGTTTCAAGTCAGTTTTGTTCTGTGCTGTATTTCTAATACTTGGTACCCTGTAGGAGACATTTGTTAAATGTTTGTTGAATTTAACAATGAGGGGAACTAAGGCTGAGAGACCAAATGCTTTTCTTTTTTTTTTTTAAAGAGAGTTTTATTTTATTTTATTTTTATTGAGGAATTGGGGGATGGGAACAGCGCTGGGGAATTTGGGGAAGGGGAACAGACAAGTTGCTGTCCTTTTGTTCTTCAGTCTAGTTGTGGAGGACGTTGCTTCACTGGCCCAAGTTGGCACCATCATTGCGCTCTTCCCGGGCAAGCAGATCAGTCGCCGGCTTCTGGACGGCCGGCCGCTCACCACGGCTGCTGGCCGCTCACGCTGGCTGCTGGCTACACACGGTAGCCCATGGCAACCCACTGCAGCAGGGGCTGCAGCCTATGCCGTCGCCGGCAACTACGGCAGCCCAGCACCAGGTCGAGCTGTTGTTCAGCATCTTAGCTATAGAGGGCAGTGTCACTGGCCCTCATATGTGGGATCTGAACTGGGGCCCTCTGGCGTCCCAAGCCAGCTCTTAAGCATCGCGCCACTCGGCCGGCCCCAAATGCTTTTCTAATTCACGCATATGGACCCATACACAGCACCCAGATGCTCTGGTTCCTAGCCCGGAATACTTTCAACAAGAGCATCTCAACTCTTTGCTTCAAGAGATTTCCCTTCTCTGGATCTAGACGTGCACTGGCATTATTAGAAAGTGTTTCCTAAAAAATTGCTTTAACAGTTTCCCTTTTCCTTTTGTCCCACTAAAGGATGACAAACCACGTATTCACTTACAGCTAGCTAATGGGTTGTGAAGGGCATCTCCACTGATGATTTTTTTTCGTTTACTTATAGGCGATATTTGGCAGCCAGACACTACCTAACTCCAATAACGGTGTAGCCTGCAGAATTTCAAGTGCCACAGCTGGTGGCCAGAAGCCAACTACTCTGCCACAAAAAGTGGTGCCACCTCCAAGTTCTTCCTCCTCCCTGGTCCCCAAACCCCCATCCAACCACAAACAAGTCCTCAGAAAGGCAACATCCCAGAGGGCTTCCAAGTAAGTTTTCGATAATCTTCTGTTCAGTTTCTTCTGAGTTATATTCATTCTGTGCTAATAGTACTCTTTATTTACGGAGGCTTCAAGACAGTTTGTACTGTATGTTGAAAACAAGAACAACTGATGGGTGTTAAAGGGTAACTGGTTCTCAGCCGTGGCTACAAATGGGAATTGCCTGGGGAGGTATTGGAACATGCCTACGTTTGGGCTCTTGCTTACCCACAGGGAGGCACAGGCCCTGCTGTTTTAGGTTCCCAGGGGTTGTGCTGAGAGCTGCCACTGCCACAGGGTTCAGGATCATTGCTAACCACCACTTCCAGCCTCTGGCAGGAGCTACAGTCAGACAGTGCACCAGGTGCTGAACTGTGGGCTGGAGAAAGGAAATGAAAACTTCCTCCTGGAAGTACTCTTCTCGTGGTCATTCTGCAGAGTCAGATCTTTTCAATTTCATATAAAATTCAACACCCTCCCCCACCCCATCCTTGTTTGTTCACTTTGAGGCATTTGAATGGGAAGACATAGGGTTGGTATTTCATTGGGGCATTAACTTATTGACAGTCAACAGGCTTTATGTGGGAACGTTTTTGGGTACCTTTAGTAGTGTATCTCTCTTACCTCAAAAAAGACATTTCGACACCTGAATCAAATTTTTGTAGGTCACGTCCTCACTCTGCCTTTAGCTGTTTTTTAGACTGGCAAAGGGTGTTGGTTCCAACAGCCCTTCTCCATGTAAAACTGGGGAACTTCTTCAAAGATGTCTTGAAGAGGCAGGCATTCCCTGATGTATAAACGCCTAGATTTGTGTATTTCTCTTGCTCTCATTACAGCTCCTCATTCATTGTACTTTACAAAACCAAGTGGAGTTGTAAGAAAGAATCCTAGGACATTGCAAAAACAGTTACTGTTTTTCCCCCTTGCACAGTGAATCCAATTCCAGATTTGGATTGAAAACAATCCCTTGTGGCTATTTTAATGATACTGCTGCCATTATTCATTTACCCAACAAATATTTATTCAGTGCCTACTAAGTGCCAAGCACTGTTCTGGGAATAATTGGCATTGTAATGACTTGACGGAACTCTCTGGAGTCGTAGGGAAGGGCAGTAAGAAGACTGCAGTTTGTGACTGAAAGCCAAGAGAACAGTAGGAAGGAAGCTGCAGGCATGGCCCTTCACCTCAGAAAGAAAAAGTCAGATCGTTAAGGGTGCAACCTCTGGAGCCCGACTGCCTGTATTCGCATCTCCACACCCCACTTTACTAACTTGAGGCCTTCGGCAAGTTAAAAGGTACTTAATCCCTTGTCTTCAGCTTCCTCATTTGTGAAGTGGGGCTGTAAAGATTCTCTGCTTCATAGGACAGTTGATAAGTATTAGCAGAGTTAAGACAAGCAAACTACACAGAACAAGACCTAGCACACATAAGAACTCAGTAAGCCAGCCACCATCATGAGCATCCTAAAACTACACGCCCTCACACATGTGAGACGCCCACGGTTAGGTAGGAGAGTGAGTCAGGGAGCCAGACACGAATGTTGAATTTGTCAGTGTGCTTCCTGTTTGTGGATTCTCCCATGGTTGCCAGGACCCTGAGATGGCCTGTGATGGCCCACGTGGCTAGCCGGTCTGCTGGTGGGGAGGCAGGCTCCTCCAGGCAGCAGGGCTGGACATTTGAAGACGCCGCTCACCGCCCTGAACTCGGTGCTGGCAGGAGAAGCCCTCAGCCTTCTGAGGTGGAATTGCAGCTCTGTGGACAAGCTTTGCTTTGCTGCATTTTTGTGGTTTCTTCTCTCTGACAGGCAGGAGTGTGGGAAAACCGGAAACAGCTCAGCACCAAAAATGCACAGAAGGGGGGATAAAAGCAAGATTTCTTCAGAATTTCAGAAATATAATCCAAGAATCAAAAGGCGTGCTGTGAGGCGTTGTTCCAGGAAATAGTTTCCAATTTGCCTTTAAAACTTGAGCACAAGCCTCTGAAGCTAAGTAAGTCAGCCCTAGTGGAGACCTTCATGTTCTCTCACTTACACGTAAAATGTACAGTGTTGTGAGGGCCCCACTGTGCTCAGCATCCTCTGACTTTCAGGAAGAAGAAAAGCATCCTTTTTATCTGTACCGACACAGTGAGAAGTTCCCTCTAATAATTTTAGATTTACGGAAAAGTTGTAAAGATAAGCACACCCAGCTTTCCCCCTTGCTAACATCTTGTATTGCCGCAGTACGTTGGAGGAAGGTGCCATCTAAGAGGCTGTCATTGGTGCATTACTGTGAACTCAACCCCATACTTCATTTGGAATGATGAAGTTATTTTGAATCTAGAGAAAGCTTTCATGGCTTCTCAAGTCAGGATCCTGAGTAACCTTCTTGTTCTAAAGTAATTCATGTTCCTAGGCAGCATAGCAAGTCACTGAGCATCTATCTGACATCCGATTTTAAAATAGGGATAATAGAAGTACCTGCCTCATAGGGTTTTTAAGAGAAGCAAATGAATTAATGGATGTCAAGCAGAAGTACAGTCCCTGTACATAATATATGTTAACTAAGTGTTAGGTATTATTATGGTTAATACTAAGGTGGCATTTTAGGAAATTTTCATGTCTTTTTTTAACTTCATACAAGCTGTGTTGCCTCACTTGCTGGGAGCTTACTGCAGCCTTTCCTCTGGTTCAGGAACCCCCAGTTGTGACTGGTAACACTGAGTCACTCAGGAATGCCATAGTTGCCCCAAGAGACACAACGAATGAGAAGTTGTACAGAGCTCTTGACCGTGCCAAGCCCTGTGTTCTGGGGTCGAACTTCAGACTTCTTTCTCCTAGCACAGAAGTTGGCATTAGACAAATATAGGAGCAATTTCCAAGAGCATCAAAATTTCCACATCCTAGAGGGTTGAGCTTAGAGAACAATAGACCATAAAAGATGGAATGTCGTTTGCATTTCGGTGCAAAGGGAATCCAGAGAACAGTGGAGTCCTGTTTCTTTATGATAATATTCAGGTCACTTTTCCTCTAAAGGTTTCAGTTTCCCATCTGGAAAACAAAAACCTCTGTCCCCACTGAATAATTAACCAAAATAACTTGTTTTCTGTCTATTCTGTTGAAAGCTTTTTTATGAGCACATTTGTTTTTTACTCCTGATGCTTTACAGCCATTTTCATCATCCCTTTTTGACCCAACGGGTCTTTGTTAGAGTTCTCCAGTTCATGTACTTACATTTCCTTTAGCTGAGTCTCATTTGTCAGTTTTGTGAAGAGAATGATTTAGACTTTTTTTAACCTTTTCTATGGTGCCAATAGCCTTCCTTGATTTTCCTCTCTGATGTCTGCAACACTTCATAATTTAGTACCCACTTCAGATCCTCCTCTCAAAATTCTTTGTGAGATTTCTTCCAGGCAGTCAGCTGAACGGAGGATGACAGCCTAGGAACAGCCACATGCATATGAACTGTCTCTTTCTTGTACATGACCTTTCTCTCAGAGCCAGGATTACACTCTCCAGGAAATATGGAGAAGGAAACCTGAGGAGATTAAAGTCTGCCAGGAACATGGGCAAAACTCATAGACTAGAGAGGAATTTGAAAGGGCAGGGCGGAAGCGCTTGTACCTTGGGACTTCTCTAAAGAAAGAAAACTGTAAGAAACACCAGGCTCAACAAAAGTGCCTTTCTTGAAACAGCTGGGATTAACTTGCCTTGCCCAGGTTTTAGAATCTTCTTCGTCAGGGTGTCCTCAGTGGAAATCAAAGGTAACTGCTGTGATGTGTCAGCACCCAGGACAGTGGTGTTTGTGAAAGGCCACTGGGGATGAGGGAGCAAAGCAGTCAAGAGCTCAGCAGCACGGTCAAGCCAAATACCAGTGAACTTGACCTGAACATTTGGTAAAGTCAGAAATGTGATGAAAGATGCCCAGAGGTTAATATCATAAACATGTAAAAAAATAAGCTTCAGGTTAAAAATATATGTGCTCTATCTTTTTAACATACTAGTGTGATTCATTTACATGAGGCAAAGTGATCAGGAGTTATAATGGTCCAAAAGTAGGCTCTTGTCATGAGCATAGAAGATGTTATATTTTAGGTAGCCTTTCATTATTTGTAGTTTCAAGAAATATGATTGAATCACATATCCATCCTTAAATATAGGATTCTCTAAATTATGCATTCCAAAAAATAGAATTAAAAAGGGTTCCTGGAGCCAATTCCAACGTGAGATGCGGGGGTGGGGAGGGGGGTCCTCAAGTAATCCTCACACACCAGCAGGGTACTGAATGAGTCAATTCAGTTCCATTCTGACACTATCTACATGGAGATAGCATCAGATTCCACAGGTGAAGGGGTCAGTCCTACAAGACTGCATACACACACTTTCTTTCTCCTCTTCTCTCTCTCTCACCCCTTTCCTTTCATTTCAGATGCCAGCCCCAAGCCCAGGCTCTCTGTGCTTCTGACCAACCTGCTATAGGTTGGAAGTTCCAATGACCCCCTCCAACTCAGAATGCCAATTGTAAGTCCAGGATGTTACTTCTGACCTACTAGCTATAAATCAGAGGTTCCCACCACGTCCTGCTTGGGTTTGATTAATTTGCTAGAATTACAGAACTCACAGAGGCTCACAGAACTCAGAGAAGCATGCTACTTACTAGCTCACTGGTTTACGAGTATTGTAAAAGGGTATAACAGGAACAGCCAGGCGGAAGAGATGCATAGGGCAACGCCTCGCCAGGCATTCTGCCCTCCCCACATCGGTACATGTTCACTGACCCAGAAGCTCTTGGAACCTCATCCTCTTGGGTTCTTACAGAGGTTTCATTACACAGGCACGATTGAGTAAACCATTGGCCATTGGTGATTGAATCAACAGAAAGCTCCAGCCCTCTAATCACGTGGTTGGTTCTCCTGGCAACCAGCCCCCATCTTTAGGTGCTTCCAAAAAATCATTTCATGGGCCGGCCGAGTGGCACGTTGGTTAAGAGCTGGATTGGGACGCCAGAGGGCTCGGGTTAGAATCCCACATG